ATCAATCTCTATTCTAAAAATTTTCAACCCCCTAAAAATCTACAATAATGGGGGCCAAACAGGGGCATGTTGAGTAAACACAAACAAATTCAAAAGTCTTTTTTAGACGTCACCAAGACTAGCTAACATCACATAGAAACTGGTTGCTGCCTGATCCTTATGTCTGAATTCATCTCCCTTGCACTGCGTAATGATACAAATAAAATGAAAGAAAAGAAGTACCTAGTGAGTTGTTCAGAAACAATTTCATCAGTTACCAGGTCTGGGCTTGCCGAACCATGATTCATATCCTCCAAGATTTTACAGCTTCCTGTTTGGACAACTACTTTACCTAGTAATAATCATGTCAATAATATCAGTAAAAGAGAAGAAAAATAATGTTATGACAGTATGAATATTGACCACGAGAACATACACATTATTTCATGTGCAAGACAAAGTGTCAGTCAACATATATGCAGCAATTTCATACAACATGTTGTAAATTATCACTTCATTTTTCACTTGGAAAGAGATTGGCCTTTCAGGTTGATAAAAGCCTACAAAGTGTTTAAAGGCAAAGTAATAATGCCAATGGCCGAAGTAGTTGTACATAAAATCCCCCAGGTTAAACGCCATATATGGAACCAGTTAGACCCGTGTTTAACCATCTTGGCATTAAATTTTTTTTTTAACAAATTGGTATCAGAGATCTTTAGGACTAGAACCTTAGTTACAGCTATGGCTTTTCAAACAGAATTGGGGCAAAAGCACGGAGTATGCATGTCAGAGCTGACTGACATTAGTATTTTGTGTGTACAGAAAAATCTTTCCTCCAAGTTTCTCAAGGATGGAAAATTCTTGCAAATAAATTCCAAAACCTATTCTAACATTTGTTGCGGAATGTATTTTTCAGTTGAAAACTTCACCGGTCTAATACATTATGAATCTCAAATTATGGCTATTAAATTTGCTGATTTTCAATCTTTTACATGAGTACAACTAAAACATCCTAACCCTCGCAAAGATAGGTGAGAAACCAAGAGAAAAAATTGAGCTTCAAATGACATATATGATGAAATTTACATAGTATTTTTCGTCGGAGTTTGATAAAATTTACGGTGCATAACCACATTTTATTAATATGGAAAGGAACACATTGAAAGCTCCGCAAACTGACATACCATTGAAGTCATTTGCCTCTCGATTGTACTGCCTTCCCACCCGTCTGCAAAAACGATCCCAAAATATAATATATTTTCCCAACTTAATGCAAATGACAAGTGCATATAAACATCTAGAAGACACTGCACTGCACATAAAAATTTCTGAAGAAACAAAAAGCAAACAAGAATAAATATGAATTAGTGTGAATACGTTTGTTATGTTAAGATAATTTTATATAGTGACCTGGGCAGAAGCTTAAAGATAGCAATGGTGGCGGCAGAGCCCAGTAGAGCTCCGGCTCCAATCAAAACCAAATATTTCGATCTCTCTCCCATCTCTTTGTACAGGTGAGTTACTCTGTGTCCGTCAGCAGCCAGGCTCGGGGGTTTTGAGTAGAGAACCGTGGTGAGGCTGCTGAAGAGCAATTAAAAAAAGACCAAAAATTAATTGATCAGCCTGGATGGAAAATAGGGGAATTAGTTGTTTCTTTTCTTTAGCCCACGTTTGGACTTCATTTTTATAAAAACTCACTTTTTTACCACTCATTTTCAATTATACATTTTCCTATAAAATAATTTTATACTTAAATCGAAAACTTTCCTTTATTTTTTAATCACACATTTTTCAACTTTTTACTATTCCAAAACACATTCTCTTGAAAAAATGGAGCCCAAACAAAAGCTATAATTTTACAAGTTATTTTCATTTTCTTCGAATGAGAAATTTCTTTATGAAATATCATGCGGATTGCAATTGAAAGAAAAATTGGAATCGCAGCTAAAAGAAAAATTAGCATACAATTTGTCCAATGAATTATATCAATAATATGAAAGCACAAGGCACGGGCTTGTTGGTCTCGTATCTAGAAATATGATATCACGGACTACAACCCATATTGCCAAGAAAGCTAAAGACGTGACATAAGATGTCACAGGTGTTGTCGAAGATATTAGCTACAACCAATGATGGCACTAAAGTTTCTCATTTCAGTCGGTTGATCCTCATAAAGATTATGCAATTTGCACTTATATTAGTGAAAACAAACGGAAATTTTCCAGAACCGTGCATTATTTGTTTAATACTTAATGAACATCACAAATTAAAACTAAGACAAACATATAAAGAAACAAACAACACACATCACGTATGGAACTCTTCCCAACCATTATTGTCAATAAATATAAAGATGATTAGTCTAAATGTACACAATCCATTACATAATGGATTACACCTCCCACTTCTAGGGGATTAGTTCCCAGCCTACCACTAAGACAAAAGGCACCATTTTCGAGCACTCGATCGACTGCACTCAACCACTGATCACATGCCATCAGTGTACCTGGTTTTGCCATTGAATTAAGTTAACAAAACAAGCTGGCATCCTCCCATGCCTTGCTGATATCGTAGATTGTTGTGCCTAGCACATTTCTGCGTACTATGTTGAGAAAAAACTTGCACACCTATGAGTATTCCTCGTGCATGCTACTGTGAAATCCTGGATTCTCACGAAATCCCACACAAGCTGTTGAGAAATTCCGCCCATGCAGTGTTACCATCAAGTAAATTTCTCATTGCATGGCTTTCGTCCTCCTATTGAACACGCGAATTCCTTACATGTGTAAGGACGCATACAACATTACAACTTAACCAAATGTGCCAATGAAATGTATATCAGTGTGATATCAACCCCCATCTTGCTAAATACGCACAATACATGCAGACTTGTTCCAAGGTGTGGGATATAGGGTAAGTATCGCCTATACAAAAACTATCACAACTAATAAAGTGCTAATAGGCGAAACTATATCCCATGCCTCCACAATAGGTGCCAAGCTATCCACACGCTACAAGCCTTGAACTACCAACGAGGAGTCACATTTTACCATAACTCAGTGAAGTTCAGTTAGCTCAAATTGGGCTAAAATTTCTGTCATTCCAACCTCACTTCCTTTTGCCCTCTTTATATCTTCCTATTCACTTCAAACATGAAGCCCACTACCCAAAACACCTCTCCTTCCCTTGCCTATCCCGGAAAGATCAACATATCTCCATATTACCCACATTGTCTAAAAAAATGTCAACTTCGAATGAGAACAACCTCTTGTTAACCTTGTGAGAATTTCCCAAGTATAGTCTACTAGAGAAGTGTGAATAGCTAGCTTCCAACCCATTTGTTTCTAGACAAGTTTCGTCGCCATCGTGCACCCCATAACTAAAGCACTTGCCATCTTGAATTACCTATCTCTATACCAAAATTACGGTAAGTTGGCAACGAGTCATAAGGAACTCGCCGAATGAATAACTTAATTTTGGTATGCAAATCCTATTTACACAACTCCTTGTTGCACATGCTTCTATATGCCTCATAAGTTTGTCAACCAGTCAGCAAAAGTCAGTATACAATTCGCACTGATTAAATATTAATGGTGCTTTAATGTTATATGATTATATAATGTCATCGATAATAGATGAAATAATATCTCGACAATCTTACGAAGATCTCACCTATCTTCTAGGTCCCATATATCATACAATCGCGTCATTTCATTATAGCCCTAAAAGGTGCTGTGACCTGGAATCCATGTATCATTATAACCCACTCTAATTTTTCGTTCAATTTATCATCATCATCATCATCTAAAATGAGCTTCATTGTCTTATGTTTCACTTCTCCCTGGTACTTCCCCCACCGACCAGCCCTCCCATCCCTCATCCCCGCCTCCTCCCACGGGCGTCACTGCATCCTTCTTCAACAGTTCCTTCGATTAAGAGTGCCAAAACATGCACACTGACAGATGCATACACCGCCCAGCGAAAAAGCCTTCTACATTAGTGGCGGTCAGTAATTTTACTCATTGATTTGTTCTTTAGGAAGCAAAAATTAAACCGAACTTCTTTTTGAGTTGAAATTCTTGGGTTTTATCTTTAAAAAGAAGAGATAAAATTTAGAAATTAGAAATTATTCTGAAAGGTGAAGCTGATGTTTGTATGTGAATATTTTATTTTCTGCAGGTCCTTAAAAAGCAATAATATTAAATGGATGCTCAGGCAAAGAAGAAAGCGTTGATTCGTGCAAATTGAATGCTCAGAAGCAGGAAAAGCAACGCACTGATTCTCCTCTTGCGAGGTATTGCATTTTTGTTTACTCGTACAATATAATATGCAAAATAAAGAAGTAATTTTTAGTGATCAGATTATTTTTTATGACCCGAAAATTACTTATTTGTAAAGACATTGAAATTTATTTAGCTCCACTTCTTGTCTTATTCTGAGACATGATGCATAGCATATGTATAAATATACAAGCATTTCTTTTGGTTGAAAATAAGTTAACAGGGTGAACTCAAACTTATATGCATTGCATAATCAAGATTAATGTATCCTAACTAAAATGGGGAACTTTGAGGCACTTGAGTCATGATTTGTACTTTACATGTGCACTTAGTTCCAATGTGGATTACTTTGCTTGTGGAAATTTTGCTATCTTTATAGTGAAGTTATCTGTCATATTTTCTTTGATTCATAGTAAAAAAAAAAACTTAAATTCTGTTTGTAAAATGTAGGTACAATAAACATGATCAACCAGTTTTTAGAGTTTGTATGTTGCCATCAAATCCGAATCTCTTCGGCCTGCGCACCAAGCTTCTCGTAAACATCACGAGGTATAACTTAAATTACGCCAGGCATAAATGTTGAAGTTGTATGAGAGATGAAATCACAGCTGACATAACAGGCAATCCTCAAATTTTACTGTTCTATGGAACACTAGGTCTGTATTTTAAAGTTTTTCTTGAAGTAGATAGCATGATAAACATGGTAATCCCGTTGTGCTTGTTTCACATTTTAATGTTGTACAACAATGACATTTATATACATGTATTGCTAGATAACATGAACCTTCAACTGGTCTATTTTCTATATCATAAATATTTAACTTCGCAGATCCTGTATCAGTTTCAGAAGATGTTTGCATTTAACGTTGTTTTTCTGATGTGCTAATTATATTCTGTTAGGATCTGTTAGCCTAGTGGGGAAGGGAAGGATGTAATTCACTTATGAGGTGACTGTAGAGAGATGGGGGATTGAATGTATCTCGCTCACACAAAAAAATGCTCGACAACTTTTGAAGCATTCACTTCCTTTCCCTCTATGTATCCGAATATCGAAGTTGGCAATTTTCCATTTTCTTCCCTTTCTATCCAATATCTAGAAATCGACGAAGCCTTACTGATCGACTCTTAACTTATCTTGATCTTATAATCATGGCTCCTCTTACTACCACCCTATAAAAAACACCCAATCTACAAATAGGACTAGGAATCTAGAACTCGAAGTTTCTTTTTACACAAACCATGGCTCCTCTTCTCTCCTCATTAAGAGTTTTAAGAAGTAAGGCTTTGGGAAAAAGAAGGAAAGTTGATGTTTCATCCCATCAATAGCAATTTTCTTTTGGTTGCACTTAATCTTACTTGACTGTAATTTTGCCAAAAAAGAAAATATTAATTTTGTTTTGCTCCGATCTTGAAGCAGAATTGACATTGTCTTCTTGCAGATGTTTCATTTTATATGAACTGATCAATTGAACCTTTTACTGTTGCAATCATTTTGTTTTGTTCAGGCCATCAACCACCTCAAAAATAATGCTGCTGCACTAAATCAAGCTAATAATTTTAAGCTCTTACTTCCTAAAGTGTTGCCTAAGTCGGGATCTGAACATTATCAGGAGTTGTATAATAAATCTGAACCTTTAACTGTATTGCCTGCACCTCGATCATCATCTTCTCTTCCTCCAGATTTTTTTGACAACCATGAGCCAAAGAAGCAGAAAAATAATATTCAAGGAGCTACCATCACTTGAATTGGTGACCCACCATTACAACCAGTGTCCAGGTGACCTGGTCGATGTTAATTTATGGTCTAGTAATTATGAGATTGGATGATTGTCATCGATATGCATTTATTATGATAGAAGTACCTGGAAGTTAGTTTCATGTATGTTATTTATATCATTTGCGCGCAATGTCTTTTCACCCAGATGATTTAAAAAAGTGGAGTCTGAGGGAACAAGTTTAAGGCCCAAAAATGATGTCATATTAAAAGTCAAATTTTATTTTAGAACACTGAAAGCTCTATATGTTTGACACTAATTATCATGAGTGCCAACGCGTTGGAAATGAAAGTTGGCCCCTTAAGTTTCCTATGAGTCAATTGTGTTCTGATAAGTAGTAATGTTTTTCATGTATTTCAACTACTACCGCTATGATTACTTTCTGAAGTACCTTGATTTCTAACTGCAATAGTAAATATATGTTTCTTATTCTTTTCTAGAAAGAAATTCTGGAAAGTTGGGACATCATGATATTCATACTAAGAACGATCTTGTTTCTGGAAAGACTAAAGTGGTTGAGTCATTTGTCTTAGGGAGTGAGACAGATGGGTCATCTATTAAATCTGAGGATACTAGGGATTCTGAAATTCAGGCTTCCAAGGAAATCAGGCAGGTTTCAAAAGTAGCTGTTAAATCAGAAGCTAGCAAGTCAAAGGAGCTCTTCCTGAAGGTTTTCGATGATAGAGATTCTGATTTACTTGCACGAGGCATTACTCCCGTGAAACCGAATGTCAAGTAAGTTCCTTATATTGCTGTGCATTTTGATAATCTCATGTTAGTTTGTGGTTGATTACTAGTGCGGATCGTGCGTTGC